CTGAATCGAAGCAGATTGAACTACAAAACACAACTGTTGGAATTTTCAATAAATATTGACAATGATATCATCTAAAATATCACAAATGTAAATAATATATGATATACGACGTTGTAAACTATTATTTGCTCTTTTACCTTTATTGAGATTGTTTTCCATTTTTCGAAATGTAACATCAATAGCATTTACACATTATTTTTATTATATTGAATTATGTTCAGTTAAATTTCGAATCGGAGGCCATTAGTAAGAAAATGAAATCGAATAGAGTGGAAAATAGAATTATGATGCTTAATAACTAATGTTGAGATAAATTATAATTAAAAAACTAAAAGTAGAGATTTGCATTTTCTACCGCAATTGTCAACAAGCTTTTTAAAAGAAAAGTTTCTCAATCGTTCTTTCCTTAAGAGAACATGAAGTTGTTTTCCGGATCAAGAATTGTTTTTGAAGGAATCTCTACAAATTAGTAGCATTTCATGAAACCTCATCGCTCATTCGAATAATGTATTGATGCAAATTTTATATTGAATTTACCGGAATAAAAACTAAATCAATGAATTTCTGACATTAGGCAAACCTATATTAAATTAAGTTATTCTTATGAAGTTTCTTCAATTCTTGAACCCACAACTCCTGAGGGAATGTATTGTCAGAAAACAAAATCGTTATAAAACAATATTTATGGACGGGTCAATAAAGAAAAAAGAATTAGCGGCCGAAAGAAAAATTGATGTTAAAGAAAAGCAATAAACAAAAATTAATATCCAGCCAACTAGAGAAGTCTTAATCATTGATCGGCTCGACGGTCTACTGAGATGCAGTCGAACTGAAATCGAAAGATTCAATCGAATAATCTGAAATAAAAAATAATTTATAGTAATTTTGCTCAAAATTATTACCTTTAATCTTAATTTGACCCAGTGCCATGTTGTTCTGTTTAGTGATCGCAACAATCCGATCGTCAATTCTCATTGAATTTCTTCGGAATAGCGAATTTAAACAAGAACACAGTACATTTTTTTTGGATTTTTAGGTAAATGTTATGAATTTCATATTTTTCCAATCGTTCATTTATCCACAACTCCCAAATGTAAAACTTCGGGTTACCCTGAAATAATGAAATTATCGTTTCATTAGTAAGCTTAAATATATATTTTACCTGCAAATTTCTTTGAGTTGATGCTGGCAAAGCCATCAACAGGGTCTATCTTCTACCACATGCATTATTTTGTTTTTCACTTTTACGGATTAACTGTTGTACATAGTATTTTTCCTTTGTTTTCTTTTCAAATATCCAAATGCAAAACATTTGGTTACCCTAAAAAATCAAAACGTTACTAAATAAGCTGACTCACTTACCAATCCCAATAACAAGGGGTTGATGATGATGAAGTAATCAACAGGGTCCATCGTGTTTCCCCACAATCATTTTACTTTTTTTTTGGATTTTTGTGTTTTATGTTTTCAGCCGGCGTCATATAGGTCTCCAGAATCTAAAAAAAATTTTCTTCTTGCTAACAATTAAAAATCCTGACAAAACGTACATCCCTTTGGATTTTCTGGAGAAATTGAAAGGTTTTTCAGTTTTCGCATAGAATGATGTAATGTCTCACGATTACTGGGTATCCATTAATTAATTAATAGATTATTTTGATGTTCTGTTCATTTGACACGGATCCGCTTGATTATATTGAAATTCTTCGGAATATAATTTGCCAAGATCGTGAACACACATGATTTTTTTTGTATTTTCTCCAATTCTTTTTTGTTTTAGTTTGATCATGTCCCTCAAATGCGAAACATGCGGTGACTGAAATAATCGTATTATTGATTGATAATAAGATCAAATGTCCTACCTCCAGTGTACTCGGTTTGGTACGTAAGTCGAATGATTCTAGCCTTGTCAGCTTGAAGCAATCGATTTTTCGACATTTATGTCAGGTTTTATTTTTTTTTTGGATTTTTTAATTTATGTTTTAAAAGTTCCTTTATTGTCATGCCCTTAGGTTCGTTGAAGAACCTTGCACAGCCTTCTTTCTTACGCTACACATCGCCTTATATCTCTGAAAATAAAATGAAACTGCTAAAATGTATTTTATTGATTACACCAACCTTTTTTGCATCCATCCAACGTGCAGGCTGTGGATTCGATACGCGCTATTGCGAACGTCTGAAAGCAAACGTAATTTGTAATTCTAAGAATTGTTTTAAAATTCCACTAACCTTATTAATGGAATGATACGAAATCATTCCAAATTTTGGAAGCCACAAGGCCGCCCGTCGCCGTCTTCGCACGCGTATCGAATGAAGCACACGCGCGGTCGGCGAGCGAGAATGGTAGAGTCTGATGAGACACTGTGAAATTGGAAGAGAATGAGATATTGGGATGGGTTAGAATGTCAGACTCTCTAATAGAAGTACAGTATTTCGTGTCCTTGCTTTTATCGCGCTTCCCTCCGACATTTCGTCACATTACGACTAACGTTCAACAGTTTTTACTGACGCCTAATATTCTTTGCTATACAACAGCCAAAATAGACTACTTTTGGTGACACAGTCTTCTTTTATGGTTTTCTAAAGAACACTGTGTCACCGAAAGTAGATTATTATGGATCATTTTGTTATATTACGGATTTATGGTAATTTAACTCACAAAAAAATGAAGTACGCCTAAGGATAGAGAAAAAAGTGTTGCACACAAAATGCTTTGAATATATTTAATAAAATTTCCAAACAATAAAAAAACTTATTCATTCACAAATGTAAAAATTGCATTAATTGAATTCGTTGTTTTACAACCGGGTATTGGAAATTTGTGCGATTATTTTTTTCATTATTTTTCATGTATAATTCCATTAGACACATGTTCCTTTTCTTCCTAAATAAACGCTCGCAAAATTTTCTGCTTTCAGGCTAATATGCAACGTTCAACGAAATATTGAGAATTTTTTAACAATATCTAATAACAAAAATATTAATCCTAAAAATTTAGTTGATTCTAAACGAAAAATGTATCAAGCTCAAATTTTTTAACAATTTTATTTTTTTAATAAATGGGAATTAGCTCCAGAATTTTCTGCACAAAGCCGCAAAAAATTGTATTGAAATTCACCTGCTAAAGAACTTCGAGAAAACGTGACGCGGTATGTCACGTTCAACATATAAGATTTCTGCGGTTCCGTCGACTCGATCTCTAAAACGCAAAATAGTCATCTGTTAAGATATATCGTTAAATTTTTTTCTAAGAACTCGCAAGATATCATGATGGCTTTGAACTATAAATTGAGCCAACAAAATCCAGAATCGGCGTATGCGTGGAACATAATTCTTGTTATTTGCGCGATTTTCACAGCGATAATATTAGCGCCATCCGTCGTGTCCATTTTCCGTTCGAATCTGCGCAGAGAGCAATTGATACCGGAGCAACCGGGAATGTCGGAAGTGTCCGTTATGCAGAAATATGAGGAAGAGCAAATGCTAAATATATTGTAACTTCTCATATTCATCCATATCGTATTTTTATGATATTAATTTTATAATGCAGTTTATAGTCATTTAGTTATTTTCTATGAACACGTCACCGACATCTAACATACAATTTCACTAAATCAAATCCTCACATTTAATGTAATTAAAGCGGCAATTGCAAAATTTTAATATGAATTTGCAGGAATAGTATCAACATTCTCTTCGGTAATTTTTTATTATTATATTTCAATGATCGAACTTGGAGTTTTGTACGGAATTGTAAAGAATGATTACTGTATCAACCACTAACTCAGAAAATTATATCTTCATTTAAATTTTGCTCATAGGTTTATGAAAATCGTTAAAACAGAAACTCTCTTCAAAATAATTTCACAGTTGCAGATTCGAATATTCTTCATCTTGTACTTCAGTAATATATTTTATTATGTGTAAACTTTTTCTAGTTTTGGTGGTTAATAGGAAAAAATTTTGCAGGCTTGGATTACTGTTTTCAAAGTCGGATTCAATTGATTTGTACATTTGAAAAGTTATCACAATAAATATTTTTATCTGTTATCTGAATTCAAACAAATAAAAATATATCAATATCAACAAATATTTCGAATGGAATAAAACATTTTTGTAAACATCACGAACGAATTAATGCAAGTGAAAATTTTTCTTACCTAGTTTGTCATAGTACGAGTATCTACATCATTTTCACAGTGAACTTATTATTCAATATCTTTGTAATCATTTAGATAAGTGGTCTACCTATTTAATATATTATTGTTGAAAAACTGAACAGCTGAACAACTGAGCTGAGCAGAACATGTAAAAATTGATACCGTAAAATTTTAGAGATCAAAATTGGCGCGTTTTAAAAATCTCGCGGTATATGAATTTAGAGAAACTTTTTTTTGTTTTCGAAATTTTCAAGATTATTCATGTTGTGCTTTCAATATTCGTTTTGCGCTCTTCGTCGGTAGATTATTTTAACTCCAAAATTCGATTTTCCTCATGGCTTCATTGAACAATTGTAGGAGATGTAACTTTCTGATTCGATTACTGTAGCCAGCTGAAAATATAACTTGGAGGTTGATTCACAAATTATTGAGCTCTAGAAATGGAAATGTATTATCGAAAAATATTTGGCTCAAGCAATATTTTCTGCTTGGTTCGTCCTGGAATAGATGGAAAAGAAAATCACTTATTTTTTTTTCTCAAGACAAAATTTTCATAAATGAAGAGATTTTAAGCAAGCTCTGTATTAATTGTATGAATTTACAATTATTTGATTCAATTTTCATTATGTCAATTATTCACTTGCTTTTCTTTTCATTGCAATTTTAATTGAAAAATTATGCAAAAATCTTCATTAAATGTATACATACTCATAAAATACAATAAAAGTGAAACTCAAAAACACGATATGAAAATACAAATGCAAATGTATCACAATGTCCAAAAACAACACAGTTAAAACAAATAATCGTTTAAAGTTTTCCCCTGGACCGTATTTTATTCATTTAGTTCACTTCGTTTTCCGTGAGTCTGTAAAATAATTAGTTTAATAATTGCATAACAAATCAATTTTATTCTTTTCAAACGAATATTAAATTTCTTTTCCATATTCTTTTTTTTTAATAAAAAATGTTATGAATTAATCGAAGCAAGCCGCAAGTTGAGCTAGCCACCTTCTTTGCTCTTGCGGGATTTCGGTGAGTTCCTGCTCGGCTGGGGTGTGCGTAAACTCGGCTGGTTCATCAGTGGCGTAGTACCAGAAGATCATATTACCAACTGAAATCATATCATAACATGTAAAATTATCATAAATCAAAGAAACCGATTAAGAGAATTCCATGAATGAGGAAGACAATCCTCCATTCGGCCAATGTGTTATTGTGGCATATTAGGAACACCAACAAGGGTTCAATAAAGAGCGAGACGCACTTGATAAATTGAATCTGCGACAAGACAAAGTGAGAGTGTTGTCTGAAATATTACACACATAATTGAATTTCAATGTCAAATGATTCTCCTACCGGGCAACAAGGGTTGCGCATTTGTAGAATCCGCCGCAAATGAACCCAGTTGAGCATTCAATAATTAACAATGCGATGAGAGAGTAATTGGCGTGTTCACGCGGCAAAAATCCAAGAATGCAGAAAAATACTCCGGAAACCTGAAATTTCGTTGTTTCGACATTCGAACCCAAAGAATCATACGATTCTCAAAACCAAATGATCAAATTCGCATAGAACGAAAATCATTTCAACTTTTTCTTCTTCTCAGTGGAGGCATTATCAATCAAAAATTGTAAATACCATGAGCGCGATAGTGTTGAAAATACGCATTTTGGTTTTCTCCGACCAAAACTTGATACGATCACTGGCAATTCCCGAAAAGACTTTGAAAGCCAAGTGGAGAGCACGTGGAATAGCAACAAAGTATCCAGTATGGTTGACAGCGAATCCAAGGACCTTCACGGAAATTCTTAGAATATTCCCTAACAGCATTTTCTAACCTCCTTCAAGAATGTTGGTCCATACATGACAATGAATTGAGACATCATCAATTCTCCAAACGCGGAGAGCCAAACAGCCCACATCACTGGGTTCATCATGATTTTTTTGATTGGTGCTTTCTCGTGCTCCTTCACATCTCCCTTTCCTCTATGGATTTTTTCTAATTCAACATCGGTCATCAGTGGATGCTTCGTGGGGTTATTTCTGAGTAGAGTGACATTTATTTTTAATCAAATTGAAGTCACAGTACCTATAGAATGCGAACCAAAGAATGAAGAGGACACCGCTGACAATGGCATGCACGTAGTACGCCGAAGGCCAACCCCAAGATGATTCGCAAAGCTCGCCGGCAACCGGCATTGTGAACATTACGGAAATTTGTGAGAACGATGAAAGAAGCGAGATAAAGAATCCATGTTGCTTTAAGCTAGCCCAGTTGACCACTATCAGTCCAATCGCCGCAAAATCAGCACCAAATGATATTCCCTGAAAATGGTTAGTAAAAAAATTTCTAAATAACCAGGCAAACCTGGAAAAATCGGCTGAGAATCAACAATTTAAAGTCCAAAGCTGCTGAAAGTGGCATGAGTCCAGTGGAGATTGTAGAAATAACTCCAGCAGCGAAGAATACCATACGAGCCCCAAACTTCTGATAGAACCAATGAAAAGGCCAAGCAGCGAGAAGAGTTCCGATAGCAGCGGCCCACATGATTATCGACTTTTGCCGATTAGAATAGCAAAATGTCTCAGGCGGTGCTCCAAATTCCTGAAAAAAAAAACATAATTCCAGATTTCGCTGTTAAATTCGATCAACCGTTCGGTTTGATGTGTTCATGCAAATCATTGTGAAATTGATAACGGTGAGATTTGATGCAATGGATGAGATACAAGCAGAACCTGAATTTTAAAAAAAATTATGCTACGCATTCCTTGACCTGAAATTACCTATGAGAAGAACTAGGTATCTCTGCCGAGTGGCCAGGCAACCCACATTATCAGACTTCTTCCGCATGGTTCGTAAGCAAGTCCTGAAAAAAACCATCAATGATGCTTTTTTTTGAAATTGAAGCGAGAACAACATTTATAGCGATAAAAACAAAATTTGCATAAGTATGAAATATGGCAACGGTTTGTTATATCAGAGAACTGGGACAGAAATAAATCGGTTTTGGTAACGACAAGGAAATCCAATTCGAATGACATTTTATATCATCTTTCACGCGTCATGATATGACGAATGAGAAAAGGGTGAAAAGAGATTATTTGGTTGCATTGCCAATTTGTCTTTTGAAGTAAAACAAAACCAATTAAAAATATTTTTTTTAATTTTTGCCAATAAAAGCTTGCCAATTGAGTTAAGAATTTTCTTAATTAAAAATCGCAACTTGGGATCCTTTGGGGAGATATACGTTTGAAGGGATCATTGCAAATTCGCTCTAATGTATTATCAATTCGTCGCGGGCTGTCTGTCGGTACAGCAAATCGGGTTTGCGAAATTTCAACGCTAACAAAACATGATTTCTGGTAGTACCACATGAAATGTTCGACCAACGACCGAGAAAATATACGGCGCATTTTTCATTCGCTATTTTCAAATTCCATATTGAGAAACATTATCGCAAGTCTTGATCTCAGAAGAAACGTGAATACTAATCAATCAAAAATTCAAATATGTCGATTCACTACATTTTTGTGCACAATGTTTTCTTTATAAATAGTAAAAACCTTCACGAAAATTTTTAAAAATTTAAAGAAAAACCGCAAAGGTCGTTTACAGAGATACGATATTACAACCCATTTTTTGTTATTATTGGCAAATTGGGAATTAAAAAAATAACTTCCACACGTCGTAATTCAAAATTACCACCCCTCCTCCAATTATGTTTGAATTCGGGTTCACGCATCATTGGGAAAAACATCATTAAAATTCAATTTACCTCTAAAACTAGCGTATGAGACACTTGAAATGAAATATTAATTGAGGTTTTGGAAGGAGGCCGCGTTTTTATTAAGAAAGTTGACACAGACTATTGAAATTAATTCAGTCTTGGGAAATTCTTAAGTATTTATATGTATACGTGATGAACGCTACCTACTAATGTGATAATTACTCAGCCTCTAATTTAAAATACACAATAATAAACAAACTGAAGAGCAAATAAACAAATATAAAGTTTGTTGAGTGAGAATTGTCACACAAAATCGTACTGCTATTCTCATTTTATCGTTGTAATATTATTCTAAAAGAAGGTCATTTTGGGGGTGATGGCAAAATTTTTAAATCAGATTTTCAAGGTAGCCCAACTATGTGGAAAGCCAACAAAGAAGTATTCTATAGTATTTGTTACACAAGTTGGAAAAATTCATACTAATATGAGATCTGTTTTGTCGATTTCATAGGTTCTATCTACTTAATGTTATTAGAAATTGGTTTCCAATATTCCTTCTTCGAACATTTTTCGAGTTTTTTTTTAACAACGGAAGCAAAATACCCTTTAGAATTCTAACTAAGTGGACAATAATAATAGAACCATATCAGTATGAAAAACGTTGAGAAAGTAAGAACATTAAATACATATTGTGGATTAATTATTACGGATATTCTCATACATTCCTATATTAAAAATCCAATAAAATTTTCATTGAGCTTCCGCTAGACGATTTCAAATTGTAATTTAAGGAAGATTGAATCATATTGTGAGCTCTCATTCTCGGGTTCGAATAAAAAACCTGGATTTTGCAACAGCGTTCTGCAGTCAAAGCAAACAATGAAAATAAATCACCGACATGCGGCGCGACGTAATATGGCCGGCAGCTGTGGTCCGTTGTGTTGCAATAAAGTTGCCGCATGCGCCGTGACTGCCAACAAAGAATGAGGCATTTAATCGTTAAAGTGCGAACTTAAAAACGGAGCGCCACGGCCGGTAATTCCTCTTCTTCACAGTTTCGATCGCCATCGAATATATTTGATTGATTATCCAGCGACGAAAGTAATCTTATCGGCCAGAAATCTTGCAACTCGTCCGCCTACCTGTCGCCGCCGCTCGTCGTGTTTCTACCTCTTTTTTTTTGAATACAAGCAGCAATTTTTCGTCAAACTCTTTTCTCGTGTCTCATCAGCCAATATAGTTCTCTTGCCGACATACAGCATGTCATGGAATTTTGAATAACGAAACGGTGAAAGTAGTGTGCGATTTTGAGATTACGTCCTGAACCGATGATGGATGATCGTACAAATTGCGGAACATTGCCAATTTGATAAACCTCAACCGAACTTTTTTCTTGTTCAGGCAGCCTTTATATTGTTTATGGTTACGTCGAAAAATCATACATTGTGTAAAATTATGGGAGGTTTGTAAACCGAACGCCGCACAAAATGAAAAGCCCGAAAGTATTACAACATATTAAAGAGAATGTTCCAGAAAACTCAATTTGTAGACCTGGTCAGTTAACGAATAACGCTTCTCAAATCATAAAAACTAAATGAAATAATTGATTGAAACTTGGCGAATCTAATGATTGACACGATCAGTTCATCAATTACTTCAAAGAAATTTGGCGAATGAAAGAGACCTATTTTAAATTCTTCAGGCTGAAAATATCGAAAACAATGATATCATTATGTTTATATAATGCGCAAACAATAGAAGAAGTCGTTTTTTCTGAAGAAACGATTGTATTGAATACAAATTAGAGTAGGGAAATTACTTATTCGAATTATTTGCAACTTTAAAATTCCTTTGAAAAATCATATACAAATATCAAACTAAATATACTCAATATGTCTGACCAGGGGTATCAAAAATTTAATGTCGTTTCAATATATTAAATACTTTTTTTTGTAAAAAAAAGTAAAGATAATTAATAGAATATCGACATAGTTGAAATCATAAATAATTAAAGGGAACGATCGAAAATCCAATAGAATTTTTTAAAATTTATTTTCAATTGAACGTTTTAAAATCTAAAATATTAGGAAAATGTTTATTTGAAATGAATTATTTAAGAAAATATACTTAATTCAAATAATTTCATTTTTCATTTTTTTTTTCACTTTGCATTTTAAAAACTTTTATTTCGAAATATTCGATACATCGCGCTCATATAATTTCCACTTGAATAATTCTCAAAATTTATGACCCGCAATAATTTTAGTCGGGATTTATTCACATTCCTCGCTAAACACACTCTCTTCTAATATTATTCACCACAAAATGAGCAATTTATCAAGTTTATCTTGTGAAGATGAGGAATTGGAAAGTAAAGAGGAAACTGGTAAAAAAATATGTTCTAATTCTTATGTGATACACGTACTTGTTTAGCGCAACAATGGATATTTCGTCATTTGGTAGAATTTACTGATTGCGATGATATAAGTGCAAAGACCTTGGTAATAATGAAGACATGTTTCGATGTTGTTAGTACACGTCAAATAGGATCACCGGAATCATTTTTTAAACAACGTTTTTCATTGAAAAATTTGATATTGTCATAGGTCGATGGCGATTGTTCGCCACTTATTTCTCTTCTCACGGATATGACACAGTCAAAAACATTGTTCATAACCGTTTCCAAACCAATCGTCGAAAATCAATCGGTAAAATTACAAATTAACGGTTTGAAACATGTTCATTGAAGGATTCAAATGAGGCAAATGTGACATCTCTGGTTGTTGAGGTCCCAGCCAAAATTGCCAACGATTTCTCGAAAGATAAAAAGAAACGAAAAATGAGGAAGAAGAAAAAAATTACCAAAAAGAGTAAAAATAACAATTGATTGAATAAATAAATTGCTCATTTAGGTTCGAAGAAAAAATTTAAAAAACCAGAAAAGAAGGTCGAAGTTCCACCAAACCCTGAGCCAATTACAATTGTGATCGATCATGTAGAGAAGTTGTTTAATTCAGAAAAAATTTGATAAGATTTAGGTGGCTGACATGATTTTTGAGTGGTGGACAAAAGATGAGTTACCAACCGCTGAGCAATTTGTTTTCATTATACCAAAAGCTCAAGCTCCCAACATTGATGCTAATTTAGACGAGCTTTATCACATAGGCTATGTGAAAAACCATAAGCTGTTAAGGGTAGGAGTAATATAAAAATAAGTCGCAAGTCATTACAAACACAGTCGGCCCTAAAATGTGTCGATGTGATTTTTGGCAACGATGTGGACTATGAGATGAAAATTGATTTACTGTTGTTGATCAATGGCATTGAAGACCATAAAAAGACAAAGGATCTAATGTTCGAAAGGTCAACTACGAGAGTTATTATTAAACGATATTATTAAAATGTTGCAGGTTTATTCTGGAGAATATTGCCCGAAATTATAACTTGGATGGCCGAGTGAGGAATATTGATTCTGATTCTAGGTCTATTACATTCATATTATCCCAAACTATTCAACATTTTTGTAGTCAGCCGGTAACAAAAAAATTAACTAATAGTTTTGAAGTTTTCTACTCGTTATTTAGGAAACTGTAGAATCGCCGAGGATTCGAATACAATTATCGTTTTTTGACATTGAATATCTTAGCACATTTCCAGCGATTCCAGTGACAGGTAACTTCTTCAAAAATTTATATTTGAAAATTTGTATATGCATTAGCAAATCGTCTGGAACGGGCGTTGGATGTTGTCACCCTCCTTGACTTTTTATATGAGGAGAGTGTACTTGAATGGAATAGGAAAGTTTATTTATATCTTCTTGATTTGTTTTCAACTATTCTGGCGCATGAGATTACCCGGAAGTCGGATTACATGATTCATTATTCACCATCAACCGTAGTTGAGCCCATATGTAGCAGTTTCAAAGGTGTTGTGCAAAGATTGGTTAGGTAGTTTAAAACAAAACGCCAAACTAGATTTGTTGAATTATAATGGTTCAAGTGTGAGTCGCGTCATATTCGATTCCCATGAAGATTTGGCAGCTACCGACAAAGTCTCCTTCTCATTTTACATTGTCAGCATTCTGGAGGAAGAAATTGACGTAATAAAAATTGAAGAGGCCAAATACAAATAAGCAATCCCATTTCAGAGCATTATTGAGAAAGTGAAGACAATTAACAGCGAGGATAAGGATATGAGCATGGATCGAAGCGCGATTGAAGCAACGAATGTGATATTGAGGGAGCTTGACACATTCTTACAAGAGGTTTCTTAAAGAAATGACGAAATTGGATTGTCTTTTTTTCAGAAATGCTTGGAATCCGCTGTTGAAAGCGGAAATCTGGAATCACTCCGAGGTCTCGCAGCGATCATTGTGAAGCATAATAAAAAATTGGAAAGAGTTTTGGCTTTATATTGCTAATTTTAATAAATTTTTATTTTATTTTTTGTTTTTTATAATGTTTTCTAAATACATCTAAAAAAAAAGTGAAAAAGACAAAATCTTAATTTTCCGAATTCCCAATTTTTTAAAAGAATAACCTTCAAAAGAAAACTCCATATATTACCTCCTATGTCGCTATGTTCATTTTAATTCAAAATTCTTCTCAAAAGAAGGACAACTTCTTTCTTTATCCATTTAAATTCAATTATTTTTTGCCGACAGCAAAAAAATCTCCATGAAAATTTATTTTTATTACTGAATTTTCAATAATAATTCGTAATATTTTCAGTTTTTTTTTCGTATATTTACCATTTCCGTGAAACATCTGCGCGAAAACCAATGAAATCAAAATTGGTTTTTTTAAAGAAGCCTCTTAAACTGAGATCAACTCATCCCATTAAGGGCAAACAATTGGGATAGCTTTATTTTAAGAGTATACCCTAGATCCTCTGAACCTTTTCCGACGTCATTGCGAGTCATTTATGTACAACGTGTCCTTGGCAACAAGTGGCCGTACAGAAAACAAAATGTTTCTTAGAGCCGTCCGGTCTCCTAACAACCAAACATCATGGCACATGACACAAAAGCGTTTTGCATAGTTCAAATATTAATTGTTTTTATTTTTGTCTTCTTAAATTTCATAACCAATTTACCTAAATGATTTATAATGGCATTCTGCTCTGCGAATGTACAAATATGTATTTTTCAGCGGTCACATATGACAATTTCTCCCATCCTGATCAATTATTATCAAATGATACATTTATGCATATATGAATAGTAAGAGAGTGAAACTAAATGCGCCAGCATTCCTCATACGAAGCTTCCGATTGGAATTCATTTACATTTCCGACGGAAAATTTGTCTTTACGTAAATATCTTATATACTTTCTGATATTGATAATGTAAGTGTTATGTTTTTCATTCCAGAATTCGAAAGTTTTTTTCGAATCAAAACAGATTTTATTAAATTTGCATTTTGCAAGACAAAGGAAGACGCAGAAAAATATGGGCGGGGTTTCTCCTCGCCAATGTGTTGTTTAAACGGCTCAATGTGCATTTTGTGTTAGATTACTGTGGCCTTCTATTTTTTTTTCTATAGCTAAAGGTGGTTGTTTGCTCAAATTTAGAGAATTAAAAAAAATCTTGTTTACCAACGTTTATTGTAATTTTCAAGTCTTCAATTTTTCAAGAAAAATTCTAGCGCATTAAAATCACAGATTACCCTCAAATTGTTTCAGCTTGTTGCTCATTTTCTTATTTCATCATGAAAAATTTTTATAATTCCAAGTTTCCGACTTCTAAGAATCCCATGCAGCTTACCAACCAACAGAAGTAGTGTATCCTATTAAATTACATGCATGCTCGTAGAATTCTTCAGTAGTTGATGAGAGTGTAACTTTTTACTATTATCAGAGAGTATGCTAATTTGGCAAAGCCGACTTTGTTCTGGGAATTTTTGGGCTCGTCCGACACAAAATTGCATGACCAACTTCCGCGATTTGCTGTCACCTAATTGAAACAATTGTTTTAATGAACTATCCAAGAAAGGAAAAAAAACTAGAACCCGACCACCCTCTGTTTACTTTTGCGCAATGTGCAACGCCTTCGTCACAAAAATGTGCGGTTCATCGTCATCATCATCATCATCTTCAAAAAGCCGTCGTTTTTTTGCTCCTCGTTTTTCCCCTCCATCCTTTCCGGATCTTCCCATTTTCTGAAGATTTTTGTGAATGTCTGGAAACAAGGCCGCCCAAATAATTCTATTAAACACATTCCTTCAGTATTTTACTCACCCGGACGTCGCACCTTTTTTTCCAATTTCCTTTCTCTGTTATGTACGGGAAATATGGTTATAAATCATAACCGAAAACTGTTCATTTAAAGAATTTTAATGTTTGATTTTTAATAGCTGTGGTCTACCATTGAGAATTCCTCATTTTTATCTTCAATAAATTCCTTCTTTCGCTTGCTTGCTCGAGGTCAAGATGAATTCATTTCACCCTTTTTTATGCCAACACTTTAACGAGCTCTTTGCCGTTTAAATTAACATTTTCTTGCTGCCACAAAAGATTTTGTCGATGGGTTCTCTATTTGAACGTCTAGGATTTGAATTACTCATGGGTCACACGCCAATTTTTCTTAACAATGATGAGGGAATAAAAATTGATGAACGATATTTTTGAGAAATTGAGAGAAACATAAAAATAATATAGTATCAAAATTTCAAAAAATTCAAAAAAATATCATAGTCCTCTGATTATCAATTTTAATAAAAAATAACGATACTTTCCGGATTTGTGCTTTTAATTTTTAATCGAAATGCATATTAAACCAATATATTTCTTGCTTCTCTCAAAATTTCCAGGATTGCCGTTTCGGTTTTTTTATCGAATCCGGTTCAAAGTATTTCTCTCACATTCGATCGAGTAAACTGAAATTATCCTTTTTAAACAAATATTTAATGGTTTCCATATCGCGTAATGTAACATTTCCTTTAAGAAAATTTTTGAAAGAAAAAAAGTAACATTTGCTTTAAGAAAATTTTTAATCAACTATTTTTTAATTTCTCTAGTTCTGGCTGCGACCCGGTTCTTTCGGGTTTTTGAACAATAAACCTGGAAATTTCAGATTCTAACCCCCTTTTATCATTCAATCATTATCATATTATATCACCTGTCTGCATATTGATTAAAATTTTATCCAGCCTTCAATTCAGCAAACAAGAGTTTCAATCGTACTTTATATTTTACCAAAAAAAAGTGTGAAAAACAAGTTATTTTTTAGTTTTCAAAACAGACTAATATAAATCATTGAGAACGAAAAGCTCTCATAATTTTGAATAGAGAAGACATAATATATTTTGAAAAATTATGAAGGTTTCACATCATTATACTATTGCAACTGCTTCATTGCGGTTTTAAAAATATTTCAAAAATATCCCCATAAAATTCGTTATGTTAGTTTTTCCATTTCGCACTTCGAAACAAGAAAAATGTTTTCGAAACCATCGAATGGCACTATTTTATGTTGCCTTTTCTGCGCATTTCTGATCAGGAATTGCCACGACATTAAAATATTAAATAAGAAGCCGATGACGGAGCCGTATATTAAAATTCACATAGTTCGCGTGCACCTCGACAAGCAGAACATTTTTCTTTTTTTTTTACAACTAGCAAACGTTGTTAAAACGAATATCGACCAGTTACCGTAATGCGAAATTCCATAATTATCCGGTTTGCGTGTGGGACCCGTAATAATAATAATAGGTGTTCGTGCTAAAACCAATAAAAAAAGACAATAACCCGTTAACTCGTTATTTTTTAATGGTTTCTACTATCCTCAAAATTGCAGCTTGCCGTTCTTTCATACAATTTCAATTTCGAAAAAGCATCCAGCCCTTCTTGTAGTATGATTTACGAGAAACATGTCTTACAAATTTTGTATACAATGAATCAAAACTTCCGGAATTCACTCTTGGCAATTTATTATTTTTTATTATTTATAGGTTTCGTTTCCAATTTTTCATTGAAAAATTCTGAATTTTTTTAATTCTCAAAGAAACCGAGGACAGCCAAATAATTAGGGAAAATTTTGTAGAGAAACTCGCAAATTCCGAACTCGCCGTCTTTTTTTTCATTCAATTTCTGCAAAAAGCATTTCAGACCGAAAATTTGCGCGTTTTTTTTGCACCAAGTGTACCATCGATTCTTTCCTCCTTTCGCCTATAATCTTCTTTGCAATTACACTTCACTTAATTCCCACTTGTTTTGCTTCATTTCTTCTCAATTATTTTGCACTAATAACACTAAAAAAAGCGGGAGAAGAAGAAGTGGTGTGATTTTCGCCTCGATTTTTGAGTCCTCATCATCCTCATCGTCATCAACAAAAAGGATACGCGCACATAATTTGGTGGCATTAATCAGAATAGGTTTATGATGTCCGCAATTCTTTTTAATGACGTTTTTGGGTCATTTCTGATTTCTTGTGTCAAAGTATGTGCGTCTAAGAGCAGTTTATATATTCATCTCATCAATTTTGTCCCTCCACCACATCGGCGTGTACACTCCTATGTATGATATAAGTTTTTAGCTCAAGAAAACATTTTCTCTTTCTTGTCATGTTTGTTGAAGGTTGCGGTGCTCCACTTCAGCACGAACAGGTAAGCGTTCTCCGAAATATAAAAAAAACACCGAGCCAATTAAAAAAACAGTAATTAATTAAATGCCACAATTGTCCCAAGGGTATTTGAATTCCAAGAGTTATTCAAAAGTTTCGATCGCGGCTAATTCTTTGCTCAGCCCACATTGAACATCATTCAATTTCAGAGCAGCATGTCGCTTTCAACCGAGTCTAACTCTTCGCAAAAACTGTGCGCTCCGAGACCATTGCGGCGTTGCCGTAGCGCTTCGCCGGTGCCCCCGATTCGGCCACCAATCATCTCTCCAGAGCGTCAGAATCTTCTCAAGTCGTTTTAATGATAATATTCAAAAGTATTCTGAGAAATTTCAGAAAATCGTGGAGTCGCGTTCCACGCCAACAATTTGGCAGATCCGTTCTTCAATGCTTCAATTCGTCAGTCGGAAGTTCGAAAAACTTGTTCGTCGATAGCGAAACAGCGCTTCGCCACAATAAATACTTTGTGGATTTGGTTCAGGTATCTCACAATGTGATCAATTAGCATAATGAAGGCTATCGTAATGCAGACATGCATTGAAAACTTAGCTGATCTCGAGAAAGGTCTCAAGCCGTGGTTGGACACGATTGGAAGAGGACATGCCGGATTTAAAATCACGTAAGCGATAAAAAATTCAAACGACGGAATTCGTCTCACAATCTCGTTCTTTAAAAAGTCAGAATGTTGTTCCAAGAAGGTATATATATATTCACTTCAAAATTTATTAGCTATTTCTCACGTAGCTTAATCGAATAGCAGTTGAATCATATTTAATGATAACAAATCATAATTCAATTAGGAAGTACCCAGATTATGTTATATAAATTATTATGGTCTAAATCCATAACGATAAATTTTATGCATATCATGAATATCAAAAGGGGTAGTTTTTAGGTCGATATCATTGAAACGTGTTTATATAAACCAATGACGTCAAATGAACAAGGTCATCTCTAATTTTGTTATTCTTTCCGATTTGCATTGAATTCCATTAAAATCCGATAAAATTTTCAACAAAATTTTCAGAGCAAAACATTGGGAGAAGTTTGGTGAATGCCTTCTAGCAACAATCTCCGAGTGGATTGGCCCTGGAAAACAGCATAAGGAAACGATCAAAGCATGGATGGTTTTGTCATCATTCCTCACGGATCGTCTAAGCGCCGCAAGCCGCACCGCAACTCATTCACCTATGCTTACACCACGTGTTCAACTGATGACGTGCGTTAATAAATGAATATGTGTAGTAGCGACGGATGGATGAAAGAAAACATTTGAAGGAAACAATTTTTGTCTATGAACATATCATAATTTATATTGAAAGCTTCAAAAACAACGATTTTGTTATTTTATGTGTATTTTTTCAGCGGTAAGTCACAATTCGAATGGAGCTAAATGGCACACGGAGCAACATCGACAAACACATCAAATACAAAAATTAACATACGATTAGTTTGCAATTCACCCCTTTCTCGCTATACTTCTCTTCAAATCTTTCTAATATGTAGTTTTCACTTTCCATAATTGATGTTAATAAAAATAAATTTATTTCGATCGAAAAAAGTTAGAAAACATATCCAATAAAACCAAAAAAAATATTATGCTAAAATATTAGAAAACGCTAAAAGGAGAGGGATTAAATGCTGAAAGAATCGGGAAATTTAATATTCTATCCATTAACTTTACGTAAAACCAAAAAATAATAAGAAAATAATTAGAACAGTACAAATTATTGCACGATACAAGAAGGAAACATTTGAAAACGGAGAATAATATAATATTTTGGGGGGGGGGGCGGCTATTATTTTGGTAGCTGAACCGAGAATATTATGGAAACGCGCTCAGTATGCACTTCTGATATGCTAAATTAAAAAATAATGAAAAAGAGAAATGCTGGTTCTCGGATCAAAGGAGACAACACAACTTTAAAGCAAAACCCTTTTTTGTGGGCTCTGCCAGATTTACTCTTCGAACACAAGACGACGCGGGTTCTTGCAGAGTAGGAATGGAACGTAAAACATCTTTGAGTGGAGAAGAACCGATGAAGCATTGCGGAGGTCAGGAAGCCTGAATTTGTAAATTTCTCATCATGTCAGTCCTTCGGATTACGCTACCATTCAAGAATTTGTCCGAGTTTAGTTTGCTCTTCTGGTTGAAGCAAGTGAATCTGAAGGGTCTTCACAAAGTGATCTTGAAGTAAACTAATCTTCTTGACAACGTTTTCATTGAGAGTTGTGGTGGTTAGATGAAGAAGGGTGATAGCCTTGACACAGACGTACACTTCTGGTGACACTTTGAGACGCGAGAATGAGTTGAGGAGATCGGTGAATCGAATGACTAATGGGCCGGCCTCCCTGCAAATAATTGAATGTGTGATTTTATTGAATCATTTTTTTGGAAATTTTTAAATGTAGTTTAACTTTCTTATATTTTCTATACTAGTCTTTTGAATTACTATCAGGTAAACTCGGCCTTGCATGAAGGTCTTTGACCCAACCTTGAAAATTTTCGCTGTGGGACCTTGAATATTTTTTGATGTGTTCGCCGCCGCCATCACGATTTTTAAATTTTATCTTTTGTTTCAAGCCAGGTCAGGCGGAGATCGCGATTTGGATTTCAAGGAACATCGTTTTACGATATGTAGATTTGATCAGCGAACAATAAAAGTTTGCGAGGCGGTGAGGTCACAATTGATCTTGACGTGGAAACGTTTGAAATTCCGACATCTTTCAAATACTCACTTGACAACGTGCTCGAGAGGAATTGCTTTTCCCATAACAGCCGAAAGACGATTTTGAAGTAAACGCAAGTTGACGATTGGGTTCGAAAACGAGATCTCATCGGTTTCAGTGATCATTGACGTAGAATCCGGAGAATCTGGAGTATAGACCGAGCAAGCATAGTAGCAAGCCGATAGAAGAACCAATTCTGCCCAACGCTGAGTCAAAAGATGAGTATGAGCCTCAACTGGAAGCTCGTCAAAAAATGGCAACGTCTTGGTCCACTCGACAAGTTGCTCAACAATCTCATCGCCTTTAAATAATTTGATATTAATGAATTCAACGGCACAAATTACCTATTCTTGTCAAACGACTGCAAGCCGGAGTGATATCACAATTGGTAGCTGGGTTGATACGAAGGCCACGAAGGTTGATGAGACGATCGAGGCAATCCATTTCAACTAGCTCTTGAATCAGATTATTTCCGGTTGGCAATGTGCGAATTGGGTGGCGCTGCTCGTTCTGCGACTCAGGCTTCGTCACAGACTTGATACGGCGCGATTTGTAAATGCTATAGATTGCCGATCCGTTTCGTCCACCAGGCATGCGATCTTCACGCACAGCTGAAATATTCCAGGTTCATTAAGATTAAAACAGAGTGCAATGTTTACCTTCTAATACCATACCCTCGCGAAGGCACTTTTGGAATCTGCAATATTGGCACCTGAAAAACAAACGACATCAGTAAGCGTGAATTCAGTAAGTGAAAAAAAACGAAATTGAAAATGGCAAATGGGCAAAATAACCTGTTTCTGTGCTTCTTATCAATCGTACACTGTCCGACGCGGTTGGCGCACTCGTAGACTCTCTTATTCTGCACCGTTCTCTTGAAGAACCCTTTGCAACTGAAACAAGAAAAAATTGAATATCGCGTACCGGCCAGCGAATTAGGGGCGGGGCAATAATGAGGCAAGGTCGTCTGAGATATGGTGTAGCTCAGGCCAGATGGCCGTTTTTGAGCTAAACAACGCAATGTTCTCGAATCAAGGCCGGGACCACTATAGGACAGGTGGATGGACACTAATCGTTTCTTATATACATGACTGCTAGTAAGTGACCTTCTCGAAATAATTATCAATCAAAAAACTGAAAAAAGATGATAACGAATTGAGTTTTTCTGAAGGGCGCCAAACATTTCTTGCCGAGAACGACGGACGCGATTTTCGTCTGTCTTACTTCATCAAAGACTAACAGAGTTCGAATTGAATCAGCACAAAAATAATGTTTTGTGGAGAGGTGCGCAACTAGGGCGGGAAAAACTCGAATGCAGGCCGAGGACGACTGGGGGGGAAGGAGGAGGTGGCACCGGTTGAACCGACCTTGTCAAAACGCCCGCACCGTCAGGCCCCCCCCTTGTCATCCCTCCGAGAGATATTAAGAAGATTGTGAATCCCGGTAAATATAAATAAAACTCTCTAATAGCTAGCAGAAGTCAAAATCATGAAAAAGAATGATGGTTTCAATATCGAACGGAGGCTTTTGCAATGCATTTTCAACATCTCCAGAAAAAATTAGATATAAAGGATAAATATTCCCGCGACGGACAATTGCTTTTGAATCATTGTCACAATTCAAATTCAAATTCAAATTTTGTACCAAGACAAAGGCCCCAAAAAGGTCATCAAGCGTCCTCGAACACGGCCGCGAAAATAAAAAAAAACGAACTATTTGGTGTGGCTTCCTTTTTGGAGACAATTTACTTTATTCAACGTTCCGGTTGACCTTACGTTTTTGAAATCGTAAAATGCATTTGCAACACATTAAGTATCGAAATTGGATGGCACCTTGAAAAATTGAGACACGCGGGGTGTGTTTTCAAAAGGGAGAGAATGAAACCTATCTGATTTTGACTGTTAATGTCGAGAGAGGGAAAATACCATACCCTCTTCTTTTCATATTTCCTCAAACTGCTAAAAGGTTAAACTAAAAGTTGCTAGCGACGACATTATGTGAAGAATAGTTGTGTTGGAGACTAACTTCGGCAAACTTTTTCAAAAAAAAAAACTCTGATTCCCTTAAATTTATGGTTTCCGGCTGGCTCCTAAGCTCGAAGCCCTCTTCTTTTTGCCTACAATCATACTAGCTAACACCAACATCAACGCTATGACTAAGGGATATCTACCATTCATCAAGACCAAATTTATAATCAAATTTTACTGAAGTGCAATGTCATTTAATGTACGAAAATGCCAACTTTTTGTAATCAGTGCTGCAGATCGTTGGTAATTTGATGAAAATATGTAGTAAAATGTCAAAAAAGAGCGTTCAAGGACATATTGGGATTCAGACCAGTTCAATACATCGCCATCACGGTGCTGGACTCGTAGCGCTGTCTCTTAAGAGCAATCATCAATCTATCAATCTCTACATATTTGATATGGGTGGCCTCTCGAGAAAAGAACGCATTTGCAATGTGCCGAATTGAGGCTATCCAACACAATCAAAAAAGACAACCAGAATTTGTGGAGGTCAATCAGTTTCAAAACGCGGCGATGTCGCCGCCGGTGGTCACAACCGCCACCCAAGTGCAAATCAGGCTACCAACAAACAAATTTTGTGTCGTAAAGTGCATCATCGTGCGTGTCAACCTCGCAGCAACATTTTTTCGGTCTGTTCCTAGACGCCGCAAAGGCCGACGCGCACCGCACCGCCTGCACCGATGGCGCTGATTCGTGCCGGGAATCGCACCTAAGGCCTTGACCATGACGACTTTCACTATTGAAACGGCAAAATATCTGATCCGCGATCCTCTCCGAAATGTCCTAGACGCGCCAATTTTCACTTTCTCGATCCGCTTTGTTTTTTTTTTTGGTTTAGAAATTTGCGCAGTTTGTAAGGCTGGTTTACAAGGGAAACATGACGTCAAAACTAACCCTTCGCACGTATAGATGCCATAATGGAGTCCCGATGATTTATCGTTACAAATGGCGCATTTTGGGAGCACGATGCAGCATTGACGTTTCTGAAAATATACGTGAATTATGATTGGAAAAAAGAGATTGTTTTCATTAGGAATTTGCAATTTTATCTTTCATCTCAACTGAACCGAGAAATTCGTTCGGCTCCTCTCCTTTGAGATGAATCTTGTTCACTCGCATTAGCTAGATAAAAATGTTTCCGAAATAGTGCAGTTTGTTGACCCACCTAAAAGACCTCCACACCAGAAGAAATGGTCGTCTGTGACATTAATCGCCACAAGATCAAATAGATTGACCATGGTGAATGGCCTCAATATGGTATCAAACTGTGATGAATTGCTTCCCGGATAATTTGAAAATTTGAAACTTTGGAAAGTTATTTGATAATTAAACCAGTTTTTAAACCAATTTTCTATATTTCCCAATATTAATGGTTGGAATGGGATCCTAAAAATCATTCTGAAAACTCACTCTATTTTCCGGGCTCTTTCTCCCCGACATTATGACTGAGGTGACGATGGGCGCAACAATTGGCGGTGGTGTTGAAACAATTGTCGAAACGTTCGTCGAGGATTCTGTAGGTGCTGCCTGCTGCTGTTGCAGTTGTTGCAGCTGTTCTTCGGTTAGCGGCGGTTTGGAGTGTACGATGGATATGACAGATTCTCGAATGACTTCTCCCATTCTGTAATACATGCATAAACCAGTTAATGTTGTTGAAAATAAGCATTTGGCTGCGGTTTTTAGAGGATGTTCCTCACTACCTACCCCATAGATCTGGTTAGTTGCGCGTCGGACATTCGTAGCATCGGCGAATTGTAAGCTTCAATCGAACGCAGATAAGCCTGGAGAATTATGAATACATTATCCGATCCACTGTAATTCGTCAACCGACCTGGATCAAAGAAACAGTCTGCGGACTGGGGCGAAACGGTCGCGGAGCATGTATAATATGCTCTTGAGATGAGTCCGGTAGGTCCATTTGCTCAAGCTGAAATTTTAAATTGATAAACTGATGTGTATGGGACAACAATTGACAACACGAAACAGGCGCAAATCGATCAAGGTCAACCAGAGAAAATTAATGGCTAAGTTTTTTTTCTGCAATTAATCAAAAAATTTCGTGATGTTGTGGACGGCAAAGAGAACGGAGACGGGAGCGTGATAACAAGCAAATGGTTGTTCATAATGATAGGCGTTGGTATCCAAGACAACCACTCGAGAATGGCTCACTACCACTACCTAAAGATTTGTGGTGGAGAAAAACGAAGAAACATGAAATCGAAATTGAAAATGAGAGGATTGGACGACTTTCGCCGAGGCGTTGTGGGGCGGGGTCACATTTCGATTCCTGGACAGCATGCGCGAGGTTCCGAAAATGGCGAAAAAAGCCGGGCGGCGCGCGCGCAAAGATTTCGGGAAGCGCGTACTTCTCAGACGGGTCACTCGGACGGACTTCGGGATAGAATGCGGCGAAATCGGAGAAAATGCGGCGAATTTTTGTGGGTCAGACCTTGAAATGGGATGAAAGCGTGAGCGTCACCAGCCGGCCCGCATTTGCGCTTATTTCGAATTGAACACATTGACACCCATTCAGTTGACCGGCCCAAACGAGAGCTACAGTTTACTCGTGTCGGAAAGAAGAGGAGTGGAGGCAACGCCAGAGGCCATCACAAGGACATCAACACGGCGAATTTGGTGCAAATTGATATCTCGAAAATCGGATGCGCGAATATCTCAAGCGCTCTTGACGAGTTGAATGCCTGTCGTAAGGGGTGGAGGGGAAACCACAACCCGTTACGGTTTGTGAATTTTCATTATAGAATCAGAGAATTCGAAAATGTACTTACTTATCAATCGAGGAATCTCTCTGAAATTTCGGATGAGTTTGGCGGGAAAAGATTGATATGATACTTGTCACGTTCCAAAGTTTGTCATCAAAGCGGAATTTCACCTGAGAGAAAGCTTAATATGGTCACATGTCCTTAAAATCTGAATCCAAATGTTCACATCATCGATAAAGATGATATATCACCGATTTCAAGTTTGTGGTGTAACGGGTTCTTAATTCCAGCTTTTCCAGTAGAACATTCCTTTGGTTGTTTTAGATAATTTCATATTTTAAAAAGCCTACGTTTCAAGCTTAGCTTAGAACAGATCTCTTAATCAAAAAACTGACCGTTGGGAATATCCTGAAATCTAAAATTCTAATTTAATTTTAAAGCTTAATTTGAATGGACAGATGTGTTGAGGTCACAATGAGGCAAGATTTCTTAGTGATGCTCGGTTACGGTTTTTTAAAAGGACTAGGATCAAAAATTGAAACAAAAATAAACCGCAACCTAACTAGATGGATCAAGGTCAATTTGCGGTGTGTACTTTTCAAGCCTAATCCGATTCGGGTCATAATCGCAACAATTGAGGTTAGATTGAAGCTTTGAACAAACCGTGCGGTAGTAGCTGTTCGAGATGACTATTACGAACAATTGATCGAACAATTGACATTATCCCAAACTGACTTTCCGAACGCGGGCAAAACCGATAATTGGAGAATGATGAAAAGAAAATAGTGGACATTTTCGAAAAGGATATGGGTGTAAAAACAGATACGATTCATCCGGGAAAGCCGTTCACCTTGATCTGTTCAAGAAAATCAACGAGAGACGACGTCGAATTAAGAGAAGCTAGGACGATCATCGCGGCCGACGCCCACCCTGAAGTTGACCGCGCGGAAACCGACGCGTCCGAATGTCCGCTGGGAGGGCGCGACATTCAATCGAAACATGGAGACCCGAAGCGTGTGGTCGTTTTGGTTGGAGGAGGGAGGGGGAGTGGATAACACAAGGCTCGATTAACCTTGACGCACTCGTGTTGCAACTGTTACCAATACATTAAAACGCAATTGAATTTGCGCATATATGCCCGAAATTCGCATTCGGACCAAGGGTTGGTGGGGGTGCGAAGAGCGTGCCGCTTTGATTTACGCCGGGTGGCCCCTCTCTGCACTTTTCAAATCCATGGTGATTTATTGATCTTGAAGCTTCATGGAGAATATAGGGAAAGGTTGCGATGCAGCAACTTCGTAAACAGAATCGAATGAGATTGAAGGGATACCCACCTACATTGAATTCGAAATTGAAACACCTCCCCCTCCTCTAATTGTTGCAATTAGTAGGACACACCGTAGACTCCAAACAGAGTTGCTGATAACGATGAATTCTTTCAATTGGAGGTCAAGGAAAAAAGGTAGAAAACGTTAACACACATCAATCTTGTGTGTGTTAGCTACCCGGACATCAAACCCGATCATGCTTGTGTATTTCCAAAAAAAAAAACATCGGAATTCTAACAACAAAGATATGCTGGATTGAAAATCGCATAACAATGCAATTATGCGTTTTGGCGGCAAAAAGCGCAAAGATTCAAACGTAATAAATTCATGCAAGAAAGAGCAACCTTGCGGGCAAAAAGCGGAGCCATGATTGATAGAACTATTACAACGCGAGCCCGGTTTTGTCAAGGTCAGTGTAATTTCGTATTGCTCATCAAAAGCAAACATAATTCTTTAAAAAAATATGTTACTTTCAACTCGAATATTTTTCTGAACATTTGTGGGAGAATATACAATCAATTTTGTTCGAGTTTTCTCCTTAAAATGAAACCCATCGAATAATGATGTACAAAAATTTATGAAACATGTTTCGCGCAGTTCGGTTTCTTTTCGCAAAGAATCAGGGTAAATTCGAAATTCTTACCAATTTTTCGATACACTCCGATAAATCAAATCCGCTCAACTTTTTTGGGTCAGCTCAAAAGGTCATCCGTACCTACAGGCGACACCCTAGATTTGTATCATCGATTAAACGACATCCCCAACTCAACAAATTGAAAGATACGACGCGAATTTCACACTATTCCGACAAAGAAAAAATGTTAAACGAGACAATTTTTAGGAAAAGAAGACGTCGAGAAAGAATTTATAAAGGAAAAAAGACTTGACATCAAAGTAAGGGCACCTGCATGCTCCATTGAACTTCTCAATGACGTTTTTCTTTGCTTTGAAATTTTGATATTGGCCCTAGACTAAAAATATTGGGAAACGTGAAATTGCTATATCAACTTCGAAAAGCTTTATAACTCTATTTGCACTGTTATGTTTGTTCATTACTTCTATATTATTAAAAGAGATATTGCGATTATGAACGATCTCACACTAGCAAAATGAGATATTTATTATCTTACCTAGAATCAATTTTATAATAATATTACCCTGAGTAGAAAATCGATATATTACAGAAAAAAGTTAACTATTATTTTTTCATCTTTATACGACGCGTGAAATATCGGCGAAAAATGGGCAAAGCCTAGACTACACTAATCCGATTTTAATAGGCTTTATCATTTTGCGGTTTCTAGATTAGAGGAAAAAAGAATTGTGAATAGCTCTGAAAAATGGCTCGGATGTCGGCTTTTTATATTTGACGAATGCGCTTTTGGCAGTGGGAAATAATCCGAAACATAAACAATAGTATGTAGATACTTGAAATCCAAAGAGGACAGCTCATCCCACACGTCGCGAAGCTTGTCGGTTTTTTCCGCCTCCTCAACTCTTTTTTTTTATTCTTTCTGCTCGATATCGACTTTTGCTTTGACCTCGTTTTTTTTTGTTTGAAAGTCAAGAAAAGTTCTCGATGAAAGCGATGTCGTCGTCTCGCGTCTTTATTAGGTCAAAAAAGGGAAAATGAAATGGATAAGTAGGGAATGGATCTTGAGAGAGTGTTTTATGAGTGGCCATGAAAAATGTCGACAGCTGCCCCATTATGTTACCATTCGTGTCAGTTACCAAAAATGGGTTACAAGGTTGCGGGGGTGCCCGACGCAACCTTGCACAAAACCCATCTGCTCGTCAAGAGTCGTAAATTAGCTGAATTTGAATGGATCCAGTATCTACGAGTCAGTTTCCAAGCGATATGCACACTCAATACAAATATAGTTAAAAAAATGGTTTTTAAAAAAATCTTTACCAGAGACAATTTAAAAATACATAATTAGTCAATTCTTCAGTATTATTGAATAATACATGAAAAATTCATTAAAATTTGACAAAAATCTTTCAAAATTCGGTTTTTTTAAAGAACAATATTAATCTACCAACTATGATGTCTTCACGAAAATTTGCTGACAATGCATAATTTTTTAAGATTTTGAGCGCTAGAACATTTTCAATTATTAAGTCATTTTGTAAACAATCAATTCAATTTTTTGTATTCTAGTTAAAAATCAATAGAAATTGATTTATGTAGTTTGAATTTATATTAGTTTTTTTTAGTTATTGAACAGATAATTCTGGTTTTTTACGACTTCCAAAAATCAAAATATAAAGAAACTTTAACGGTTTTATGCCAGTGTCACGTTGTATGTTTTTATTCATTAAGTAACTAAAAAACAAAAAGGACTTTCATTTTTAAATCACATTTCAATATAGAAGTATTTAAAAAATCAAAATTAATTATTTCAACGTATAATATGTGTAGGAATAAAAAATGAACATGGTAAATTAAGAATTATTACTAAAATGAAAAAAAAAGTTGGTTCGTAACAGGATGATCTAGATATATATATACCATTCAACATCAAATTGATTCACCTATATATAACCAAATAGAAAATCAAATTTGAGGTGTGATTTGTGTGTTCATAAAAATCTCGTTTTTTCACACTATCAATTTATCGGCTGAAAATCATCCTTTGGTATAGGAAGTGCAAAAAACTTCAAAAAAGGATTGTTCACATAAATAATTACAACATTATAATTAACATTTTTTTATTTAAAATTTATAATTTAATACTTGATTATATTTTTTAATACTTGAGTACGAAAGTATTTTATAACTTTTAAATAGTAATTCATTAAACAAATTAATCAGACATTTTCACTGTTTTCTTTGGTCTATTCTCAAATAAATAAAAAATTTTCTTCCG